GAATAATGACCTTACGTGGTCTAGTGTCCCCTGTCGGTTTTGGTGGTAAGGGTAGGTTGTAAAGGGTAGTATAATATTTCTCAAATTCGGCTGCGATATCCTCAGAAGTTTTAAGTAAGTGACCTTGTTTGGAGTTAAGTTGATGAATGGTGCGAGCCGCTTTTTTAGATTGCAAGGTCCTGGCTAAAAACTTGCCGCTCTTATTTCCATGTTCATAAAAGAGTTTCTGAGACAAAGTAAAATTACGTTTGGTTACCAAAGTTTTTCAACTTGTTTTACCAATGTAAAAATATCCACATCCACAGGCCAATACGTAGATTACACCTGCGGTCTCACAATGAACAAAATACCTGGACTTATATATATTACTTATTACTATATTTTTTATTTGGCAAGGTCACCCACCTACTGTCATCAATAACACAACAATAAAGGCATTTGCCAGATTTGAAGGTACCTCAGAGTAGGGATCCACATAGAGAAGAAAAGAAGAGAGGGGCGCCAGACTAAGTGCAGTATTAGAAGGTAGTTTAATTGAGCAAGATAACTTGGGTGACTCACTAGATAACAGTAGAAAAAGGCATTTGTCTCAGGATGGACATCGCCCTTGTTGGATCCCAGAGGCTGATGGAGAGGGTGGATAAGCATCTAGGGGCCTAGGCTGTTGGGGGATCCAGGTCACCTGATTCCATGCTGTTCGCATCTAGCATCCAGTGGCTGTGGCTGTGATGGAAACGAAGCTGGAACACAGATGGCTGCCGGGCAACACGTGAGCTTAGTGCCGTAAAAAGGGTTGGTAACACATTTCAAACCATCAGCTTCTTCCTCAGAGATGCTTGGTTTCCATCACAACCACAGCCGCTGGACGTGAACAGCATGGAATCGGGTGACCTGGCTCCCCCAGCAGCCTCGGCCCCTAGATGCTTATCCACCCTCTCCATCAGTCTCTGGGACCCAACAAGGGCGATGTCCATCCTGAGACACATGCCTTTTTCTACTGTTATCTACTGTTATCTAGTGAGTCGCCCAAGTTATCTTGCTCAATTAACCACTTCCCTTCTGGCCCATGTATATAAATGACTGGACGGGAGCAGTGCAGTGGAGGGTGGCCTTTTATAAACAGCCTCTCCGCCCCCTGCTTATGCATGCTCCCTGGGAGCACACAGCACCGCGATCCGGTGACCGCTGTGTCCTCCGGACACAGTGGAACACCGATCGTTGTACGGGACCTCTGTGCGAGGTCCCGATCATGTGATCACTGATAGGCCAATCAGTGATCACATGAAGAGTAGTAAGCAAGATGTCAATTCTGACATCATTGCTTACAACGTGTGAAAACTGTGAATGATCACAGAGGTCACATGTTACAGTGCTATTCACAACAGCCTTGTACCATGTGACAAGCTGTGACCAATCACAGCTCACACAGTATTTCTCGATGGCTGCAAGAATGCAGCCAGAGAGAAAGAGAAATGATTGCTTTTACAGCCTTTATGGGTGTAAAAGCAATTAGTGTAAAAAAAAAAAAAATCTTCATAACTTCCCACAAGTAGTACAGTGTCACTGGTGTCATCTGCAAAGACTGAAATGGGATTTTTAATCTGACCCTATATTGTTTATAAATATATTATAAAGTAAGGGTCCCAACACTGAACCTTGGGGTACCCCACTAATAACACTGAACTTGGGGTCCCCCACTAATAACACTGAACCTTGGGGTACCCCACTAATAACACTGAACCTTGGGGTACACCACTGACAACCCTAGACCATTCACAGTATGAATCATTAACCACTATTCTCTGAATACGATCTTTTAGCTAGTTTTCTATCCATTTACATACAGATTTTTCCAGTCCGTAGACTTTACCTTACACATTAGCTGTGTGTGTGGAACTGTGTCAAATGCTTTTGAAAAATCCAAGTATACCACGTCCACCGCCACCCCTCTGTCCAAGTATACCACGTCCAACGCCACCCTCTGTCCAAGTATACCATGTCCACCATCACCTCTATATCCAAGTATACCACGTCCACCGTCGCCTCTATATCCGAGTATACCATGTCCACAGCCACCCCTCTGGTCTATAATTACTTGGTAAAGATTTTGACCCCTTTTTAAATATTGGCACCACATTGGCCTTACACCAATCCAGTGGTACTATGCCAGTCATTAAAGAGTCCCTAAAAATAAAAAACAATGGCTTTGAAATGACAGAGCTGAATTATTTAAGGACCCGTGGGTGTATGTCGTCCGGTCCAGGTGCTTTATTCACCTTATACTGTCTAAATATTTCTGGATCACATCAATTGTGAGCCAATGTGGATCATCTGGAGCTGTGTCAGTACCACGCCCATTATGGACAAGAGCCCCCCCATGCTCCTTTGTATACACAGAGCTGAAGAAGGTATTAAATAAATTTGTCTTCTCTTTGTCCTCAGTCAACTCCTCTAGATGATTCTGTAAAGGGCCTACATGCTCGGACCGGACCTTTCTACTATTAATATATTTGAAGAATTTTTGAGGTTGGTTCTGCTATCTTTTGCAATATATTGTTTGTTTTCACTTTTTGCGGCCTTTATTTCCTTTTTGCATATTCTGTTATATTCTTTGTAAACTTTAAACAATGATCACGTTCCTTCATTTTTATATTGAATAAAAGCTCTTTTCTCATCATTATCTATAGTTTTTTAACTTTGGTCATAAGCCACACAGGTTTGATTTTTAGCCTTTTAAACTTTTTGCCCATGGGAATATATTTTGCAGTGTGTTCATATACAGTCTTTTTGAAGAACTCCCATTTCTGTGTTGTGTTTATCGATGCCAATACACTCTCCTAGTCTGGAGAGGGAAAAGCATCTCTCATCCTTGGAAAATTAGCTCTCTTAAAGTTGAGCATTTTTATTTTTCCCGCATGTGCTTGTTGTTTACAGCTAACAATAAATGAAATCATGTTATGGTCGCTGCTGCCCAGATGCTCTTTTATATAGACATTCTGTCAGGGCTCTGTCCTCAGCAGAGGTGTTAGGAGACTTGGCTCCCCTGCCAGTACCTTGCATGGCTGCAGAAGTTCACATCGGCTCAAATTTTGCTCCAAACAGCCTTTATAAGGAAGCCCTGCCCTACTCTCAGGTGCTGGTTGATCTCTGGCTTCCCAGTACCTTGTTCCTGTTTCCTGTGCTATTGTAATCTGATTTCCTGATACTGACTCAGCTTGCTCTTGGACCTGTCTGCTCTGCTTAACCCCTGATCTGACCTCGGCTTGGCTAACAGATATTCCCTCTTTGCTCCTCCGTGTATGACCTTGGCTATCCCATCTGACTACATGTGCTCTGATTCCCACCTGGTACCTGACCTCGGCTTTGTACTGGCTATCCTGTGATCCTCTGTTTCCCGGAAAGCTTGCATACCTCGCACAGGCACCACCTGTCTGCAGATCCCATCTCAGTGCATCAGCTGTGCTCCTGGGTGGACCACAAACGAGCACTCCTACAGGCGACCTGTGCAATTATGGGCCTGACTCCTGCTGTCCCACTCTCAGGGGAGTCTGGAACTTAGCAGCAAGGGAAGCCCTCTCTCCAATGACCTCTAACACCAGCAATGTGATACATTCATAATAAGCTCTGCATGGTTTGAGATTACCAGGTCCAGCAGAGCTTAATTCCTAGTGGGGGCCTCTATGAACTGTGCCATAAAATTGTCCTGAAGTAGGTTTAAAAATGTTTGTCCTTTAACTGTTCCTGCAGTACCATTACTCCAGTCAATTTCTGGATAATTAAAATTCCCCATTATTTTCACTGTCCCAGCCCTTGCAGCCCTTTTGATCTGTGCATGGAGCTGAGTCTCCACCTCCTCATTAACACTGGGAGACCTATAACATACTCCAATGATGACCTTTGTAGTACACACCCCCATGTGCAGCTCCACCCATAATACTTCAGCCTCATCACACTCTCCATCAACTAGGTCCTCTTTCACACTCACTCTGAGATCATTACCCACATAGACAGACACCACCACCTTTCCTATTTACTCTGTCTCTTCCAAAGAGAACCTAGCCAGAAATATGAATGGCCCAGTCATGTGAAGAATGAATCCAAGATTCAGCAATACCAATTCAATCCTAGTTCTCTTCATGAACCAAACCTTCCAACTCACCTATTTTGCTTGGCAGACTTCTGGCATTGGTGAAGAAAGGCTTTAATCCAATGACACCTTGTTCACATGTATTTTGCATATGTTTTATTTTCGTACAAATGGTACCAATTCCACTGGCTATTTGTAACATGGGAACCTTCTTATCATCTGCCATAGCTCCCCCCCATCTATCCCCATTCCACCCACCAATAAGGACTGACCCCTGTCTGATCTGTCTACCCCATTATAGTCTAATTCTCCCTCCCCCCTCCATCCTAGTTTAACCACTTGCTACTAGGTGCTGCACTAATTCAACTGATAATTGCGCAGTCATGCAACCCAAACAAAATTTACCGTATTTTTCGCTCCATAAGATGCACTTTTTTTCCCCCAAAAAAAGGGGGGGGAAAATGTCAGTGCGTCTTATGGAGCGAATATAAAGCGGCCGGTCCGGTATTTCTGCCGCCACCATGTCAGAATACCGGGCCGGCAACTCAGCTGTTCTCTCCTGCAAGGCCTTACCTGTTCCTCGCTCCAGCGCTGCACAGTCTTCCCGCGCTGGCTTCTGTGACAGCCGGGTGCCCACTAAGCATGTGCGAGGCCATTCACAAAGCGCAGCACTTCTCGCACATGCGAAGTGGGCACCCGGCTGTCACAGAAGCCGGCCCGGGAAGAAGAGGGAAGGACAACTCCGCGGAAGTGGGAGCGGGTACCTGTCAAATTCAGGTACCCGCTCCCCCTTCCTCCCCAAAGGTCAGCAGTCTCTTGTCATTCCCTGCACTGTCTGCAGTCTCTGGTCATTCCCTGCACTGTCTGCAGTTTCTGGTCATTCCCTGCACTGTCTGCAGTCTCTGGTCATCTCCTGTGCTGTGCCCGCAGTCTCTGGTCATCTCCTATGCTGTGTCCGCAGTCTCTGGTCATCTCCTGTGCTGTGTCCGCAGTCTCTGGTCATCTCCTGTGCTGTGTCCGCAGTCTCTGGTCATCTCCTGTGCTGTGTCCACAGTCTCTGGTCATCTCCTGTGCTGTGTCCGCAGTCTCTGGTCATCTCCTGTGCTGTGTCTGCAGTCTCTGGTCATCTCCTGTACTATGTCCGCAGTCTCTGGACATCTCCTGTGCTGTGTCCGCAGTCTCTGGTCATCTCCTGTGCTGTGTCCGCAGTCTATGGTCATCTCCTGTGCTATGTCCGCAGTCTCTGGTCATCTCCTGTGCTGTGTCCGCAGTCTCTGGTCATCTCGTGTACTGTGTCCGCAGTCTCTGGTCATCTCCTGTGCTGTGTCCGCAGTCTCTGGTCATCTCCTGTACTGTCCGCAGTCTCTGGTCATCTCCTGTACTGTGTCCGCAGTCTCTGGTCATCCCCTGTACTGTGTCCGCAGTCTCTGGTCATCCCCTGTACTGTGTCCGCAGTCTCTGGTCATCCCCTGTACTGTGTCCGCAGTCTCCGGTCATCTCCTGGACTGTGTCCGCAGTCTCCGGTCATCTCCTGGACTGTGTCCGCAGTCTCTGGTCATCTCCTGTACTGTGTCCGCAGTCTCTGGTCATCTCCTGTACTGTGTCCGCAGTCTCCGGTCATCTCCTGTACTATGTCCGCAGTCTCCGGTCATCTCCTGTACTATGTCCGCAGTCTCTGGTCATCTCCTGTACTGTGTCTGCAGTCTCTGGTCATCCCCTGTACTGTGTCTGCAGTCCATTGGTTCAGAATATTTTTTTTCTTGTTTTTCGCCTCTAAAACCTAGGTGCGTCTTATGGAGCGAAAAATATGGTACTTCCTTTTTTCAAACAAATAGAGCTTTCTTTTGGTGGTATTTGATCACCTGTGCACTTTTTATTTTTCGCGCTATAAATAAAAAAATACCGAACATTTTGAAGAAAAACAATATTTTTTACTTTTGGCTATAAAAAATATATAGTAAACTCAAAGTTAGTTATAAATTTAGGCCAAAATGTATTCTGCTCCATGTTTTTGGTAAAAAAAAAATCCCAATAAGTGTATATTGATTGCTTTGTGTGGAAGTTATAGCGTCTACAAACTATGGGATAGATACTGCAATTTACGCCATTTTTTTGCTACACAGCACTGCACTAGTGCAACGGACAATTGCACAGTCATGCAATACGGTACATAAATTAAATTTATGTTATTTTTTTTCACACAAATAGAGCTTTATTTTGGTCGTATTGTATCACCTGTGCACTTTTTATTTTTGGCGCTATAAAACAAAAAATGTTTGAGAAAAAAGTTTTTGAAAAAAAAATATTTTCTCATTTCTGTCATAGAAAATATCCAAATAACAAAAATTTAATCTTAAATTTAGGCCAAAATGTATTCTGCTCCATGTTTTTGGTTAAAAAAATCCCAATAAGTGTATATTGATTGCTTTGTGTGAAAGTTATAGCGTCTACAAACTATGGTATAGATACTGCAATTTACACAGCTTTTCCTTTCTGACTGCTCATCACATTTCTTGAGGTGCTAAAATATCAGGACAGTACAAACACCACCAAATGACCCCTTTTCGGAAAGTAGACACCCTAAGCTATCTGCTGAGAGGCATATTGAGTCCATGGAAGATTTATTTTTTTCCACAAGTTTCTGGAAAATGACAAAAAGTTGTTATTTAAATTATATATTTCTCACACAAGCCATGGGTATAAGTGGAATTACACCCCAAAATACATTCTGCTACTTCTACCGAGTATTTCTGCTATAGGGCGGTCAGGAAGCGGTTACATAAGTGGTTTGTGTTACGGCACTGCATCACTTTAACTGATAATTGCAACGCTGCACCAAAATGAAATTTATATATTTTTTTCCCCACAAATTGAGCTCTCTTTAGGTGGTATGTAATCACCTGTGCGTTTATTTTTTGCACTATAAAAAAGACAATTTAGAGAAAAAAAATATTTTGGACTTTTTGGTATAAAACATGTCCAGTCAAAAAATGTAAAAAATCAAATTTTGTCATAAATTTCTGCCAAAATGTATTCTGCGACATGAATTTGCTAAAAAAAAATCCCAATACATGTAAATTAATTGGTTTACGTTAAAGTTATTGCGTCTACAAATGGCGGTATAGATACTGGATTTTTTTTCATATACTAATAATGGCGGCGATCAGCGACTTATGGCGGGACTGTGGTGGACATTCTGACACTGGAGGGGAACTGACTTGGGGTCACTGACATCCCTATTTACACCAATACAGTGGTCAGTGCAAAAAAAACACTGACACTGTACTAATGGCACTGGGGAGGAAGGGGTTAACTTTTTTAGGCAATCAAAGGGTTAACTGTGTGAGGGAAGTGTTTTACTAGTGGGCGGGGGGGGGGGTTGCATGCTGTCTTGGAAAGCTAATCCCTGCTCTCCGTGACAGTGTGTTGGGAACCGACAGGGAGCAGTGCTGCATTGAAAACAATGCAGCTGTGCTCTGTGTCACTGTTTTGTCACGGGTAATGACCGGCCGGGACCCGGTGATTGACACCCGCGGCCGCGATCGGCGGTGCGGGTAGGGCAGTCGCACGCCTCGTGCACGTCCCCTACCTGATATGCAAAATGACGTTTATAAACGTGATTTTGCGCAGCGGTGCTGCCCTGCCGCAGTTAATGTACTGTTGCTGGTCGGCAACCGGTTAAATACTCCTCCAACCTTCCCATAAACCTCTCCCCAGCACAGCAGACCCCCTTCAATTTAGGTGCAAACCATCTCTAGCATATAGGCTGCACCACAATGAAAAGTCAGCCCAGTGCTCTAGAAACCCAAACCCTTCCCTCTTACACCAGGTCTTCAGCCATGCATTGAGTTCTCTAATCTCCCCCTGTCTCTCCTGAGTTGCGCATGGCACAGGTAATATGTCAGAGAATATCACCTTGAAGGTCCTTTTGCTTCAACTTGCAGCCTAGTTGTTTGATTCTTAAGGAGCCTCCACCTTTCATGTATTCTGTCATTGGTTCCAACATGGACCAACATGGACCAGCCCCTCCCAGTAATTTATCAACCCGGTCCACCACATGCCGAACCCTGGCACCAGGGAGACAGCAAACCATTCGGTTGAGGCGATCCTTGCGACAAAGTATTCTATTAGTCCTTCTGATCATAGTCTAGGCCTTTCTGCACTACCCTCAGTGACATCCAGGGCTTCCACCCCTGAGCTTGCCATCCCCACATCTTCACCCAACTTGGAAAATCTGTTTGGGTGCTCAAACCCAGGGCCAGCCTTCCTTTTCTGTGAGCCCCCCTACCACTCCCTCTCGTTATAGTAACCCATCTTCCTACCTGATAATCCTGACTAGCTCCTCCGCCCTCCACATCAATCCCATTAACTACCTGCTCAGGGAGCAGAAGACTCTTTTCAGGGTTGTCGGTTCTGCCCAACAGTGTTCCAACTTGCTCCTCTAGATCTCTAACGGAGCTTCCAGAAGGGCAACCCGCTCACATTTGTCACAGTGGTATCCATCCTGAAGCTGTTGCTCCATTGCTGCATACATGCGGCACACTGTTGACTGCACAGGACCTTCCACCCCGCTGGCACTCATATCCCAGTTACAATGTTAATAAAAAATATCAGTTGTGACTTACAGGTTAGTAGACTCCTGGTATAATCTCCTATTTTCCACTCCGGTTTATTAAACTCCACTTAATCAAATGTCCAGCAAGCAAAACACAGGAAAGCGCAAGAATGAGCAAGCTCAGGCTCTGTTCACACCAATGCGCATTTTAATTGCTTTTTGCAGAAACGCACTACAGTCCATGTAACATGGTTTCCTGTGGAACATGTTCACATCTATGCTTTTTTTGAGCCGCTGCGTTTTTGGACAGGGTCGGGGACTTTTTTAAAAGCAAAAAGCAGCATTTTTGCTACAGTAGAGTTCAATGAAGAATTATCTGAAATGCATTGCATTTTTGCCGCATTTTGCATTTTTATTCTGCCCAGCAAACAAAAAATTCCACTTAAAAAAAGCAGAACAAAACGCGGTAAAAACGCATCTAAAAAAACGCATCAAAACCGCATGTAGAAAACAGCAAAATGACCTGCAAAGTGGCCAAAAAACAAACCACATAGATGTGAGCGGAGCCTCAGAGTGGTGAGCTCTATAGAAAGTTATACAGGCCATACATGGTTCGAATTCCGAACGATTTTTCATCCGAAAATCGAAAAAGTCATTCACTCAGTACCCTGATGGTGCCATAAATGATTTTGAAAATTGGCCGATCAAGTCATAAAGTTCACCCCATATAACAGGCAAATCTTCTGGCCCGACAAAATCTCTAATATAAAACATAATGAATGATTCCCAAGAAAAATATGTTGAGAAATGAAGAAATGAAATAGCAAACTCAAAGAAACGAACTGTTTACCAATCACTGCAGAGAGACTATAAACTGGCCCCATACCTGGAGGTGGGAAAAGGAGAGACCCCCTGACACTGGAACTTTAAGGGCTTAGAAGGTACTAGAAGTATTAAAAAAGTACAAATGTTATTTGTCAAAAAAAGGTGATAACACAAAGACATACAAAACAATACATCATACAGAGTCATAATAGAGCATCACAATCAGAAAATGAAATTACATGATAAGGATACCCAATATGACTGTGTCTGACTGGTCATAAAAGTTACAAATTGGATACATTCTGTGTTCCTATGACCCATATGTATATTTTCATTGCACCATTCCACCATTAATCCCATCCATGTAACTATAATGGATAAAAAGAACTATATAAATATATACTGTAGATCTACTTAAAGATTTCACCACAAGCCTGTTAGGGCCCAAGGATAGAAAAAAGTGCCCAAAAGAAGGAAACCAAAAAAGGCCTTCCAAAGAGCCCTGGATATAGTGCTTTCACATGTATGCAGGACCAACTTGCAGTGCTACAATGAGGTGACATTTCTGAAGCATTTATGTCTTTTAACTAATTATCCATTTTGCATTTTCATATACTGTAAGTATATCTACAGATTACAAGGTATTATATGTTGTTATGGATATGAGACCTGTTCCAAACAAGTATGTTTAATCTTGTAGATGATGTCACCCATATGCAGAGTTCTTCTCTTTTCCCTGAGGAAGGAGCGGAGTCACTCTGAAACACGTTGGAAATTAGATTAGTAGCTCTGCAGCTTTGTTACAACTATGATGATACCACTTTGTATCTTTTTATGACCAGTCAAACAGTCATATTGGGTATCCTTAGCATGTCATTTCATTTTCTGATTGTGATGCTTTATTATGACTCTGTATGATGTATTGTTTTGTATGTCTTTGTGTTAACACCTCTGTCTTAGGGGGTCTCTCCTTTTTCCTGTTGTTATATTGCGGATGTTGGCTTACAATCAGGAATTTTTCCCTTCTTTTCCCATACCTGGAGGTGCTGCAAAACCCCAAAGACAGACAGACCCTCAGCTGGTACAGACTGAGTGCCCATGGCCTAGAAACTGAATCATCATGGACTTAACTTCTATAGAAAAAGAAGAGGAAATTCCAAATTCCACTGGAAGAAGAGGAGCCAGCCAGTGGTGACAATAACTGCACAGTATGTGACAGCATGCCACAGACTGAGAGGGACATGCTGTCACATACCTTACCCCTCTCCACCTTTTCCCATTCAAACTGCTTTGGCAATGCTAAAATGTTATTTTGTCCTGCCAATAAAGAAAGAAAGAAAGAAAGAAAGAAGAGGAACAGGAGATGGAGAGAGGGAGAGAGAGAGAGAGAGAGAGAAGAAGGGGAGAGGGAGAGAGAGAAGGAGAGAGAGAGAGAA